AGGTGAACCACTATCAAACGTCATGCGCAGGATCACGGGAAGTGGGAGACTAATGTCATTAGACTCATCCTCGGTTTGGACGAAGGACCTCAAGACAACTGAGGCTGGAAGACGTCGGCAGCGACGTATGCATCAATGCGAGCATTGTGATAAACAATTTGATAGACCGTCATTGCTCAAACGTCACACGTTGACTCATACAGGTGAGCTGAATGCTATTCGCGAACAATTCACAAACTACAAGTCTGACTGAATTCGAGCCATGAGCTTGCTAGGGCTGGTCACATTTGCCGAACCTATAACAGAGCCCTAATATGTGTGTGGGAAGTTGAATGAATGCATCAACCGAGGTCCACTGTAGGGAATTGATTGATCTTGACCAATTTTGATTATGCACACCGTTGATAAATGACTGTAACCAGATAGGTTGCCACACCGGAAAGAACCAAGTAGAGTTCTCTGTACAAAGTAGCATGTAATTGGATCTTAAGCACATAATTTTTGTGAAAGCGAAACGGAATGGACAAGAATGCTAATACCGAAATGAAGTGCAAGTCATTTTAATCACTACAACAACAGCTAAGTGTTTGGGATTGGATACAGTGATTTGTCTCCATAGATTGGGAAATAAACGTGAATTCGGGGATGAAGTGAGAACCATGCATCAATCGCTCTTTAGCAGTCGCATTTCCCCTGTATTCAAATAGATTTTTGTGAGTAGAGCAAGAATAGAACAAAGGGATATGTCTGATTGGTTCAGTGATCACCTAATGGCGCTTGCGTAACTTCAATTCCAATGCTCACACGAAATGCAAGTTGATGAGTGTGTTCGTTATGAATAATTATATATTAATCAATTGTCGTTTGATGTGCATACTATAGGATTAAAGCCGAGTAGGTCATAAGCGGTTCCGGCCCAGAAAGTGTCGAATTCAATCATCTGAATCGATCTGAATTATGTACGCATTATTGATCCATTCAGTCGGTTTCTAATGATGTCCAATACGCGTTAACCTGTTTCATATGGTTTGCTTCAATCTGTTCAATACGAAAACCTATTTTACGGTGGCCCTGTAAAACGTCTATAAACGATAACCACAAATATTCAAACGCTATGTCTGGGTATAACACATGGTACATTGCCGGTATTTTTCCAAATATGTTAGAAACACATTCTACTGTTGAGAGTTTGCAGTGGTCTGAAGGTGATCTATGTTGAAATTATGTCGAACTGTTCGATGATGCATTTCGTTCATTCACTACCATTCCCATTCCTCCCGTCGAATCGGATAACAGGTGAACGCCCATTCGAGTGCCGATTTTGTTCCAAAGGATTCTCCACTCGTAGTGGAGTGAATACACACGAGCGTACGCACACAGGTCAACGACCGTATGTTTGTCGGATTTGCGGACGACGTTTCGCCGCCGGATCCAATCTGATTTTTCACAAATATACACATAGCAATGTGAGTTCCCGCCATCCGATCCGTGTTACACTCAGTAGACAGTGTCATACTTTGATCGCACACACTCTAATCCTATCTATCACCATTTTCCCTCCTCTTCATTTGTTCACGCCGTACAGACAAGACGTCATCAGTGCTCTCAGTGCCCGAAAGCGTTCGTTACACCGGGGGATTTACGCAAGCATGAGTACACTCATAACGGTCAGTGGCCATTCCGTTGTTCCATTTGTGATCGTGGGTTTGCAACCGAGCGAAATTTGAAATCGCACGAAGTGACACACACGGGTAGGTTGCACGTTTGGCATGCGTTTTTCTTTCAGCGTAAATGCAATGCGATAAGTGGTGCTGTGCATACGAAAACAGTTACTAGATCTTAAGTTATTTATTTGCTTTGTTCTTCTCTTTAGGTGAAAAACCATTTTCTTGTGCCGTGTGCGGCAAAGGGTATGCTCAAGAGAGTTCCATGAAAACCCATTTGAGGACACACCAAAGTGAGCTTTCGATTGAGGTTGTATTGTATTGTATTGTATTGTATTATATTGCTTTGAAGCTTTAGCAAGTCATAAAACTTTCATCCAAAAGTAGATCAGCCTTACAATTCTGGAAAAAAACATGAAAAAGTGGGGCATGAAACGTACAAAAATATGAATTGATTACTAAGTGCATTAGAAAGTTCAGTTCTTGTGTGAATCTTACCAAAGAGTCCCCAATGACTATTTACTGAGAGTTGTTATCTTCGGATTGGTTGTTTGAGTAGGTTTGCCCCAAACCGGTGAAAATCTACCGATGGTGCATCATTAATTTTTAAACTACATAGTAAATAGACTGAGAAGAAGGTCATATGTTGGCATTATTTAGATAATAAACGCATTCTGTAGAACAGTTCTCACATTAGAGAACGCTGTTAATTGTGAACCTTTTTATTGAAAATGAATAATTTATGTTTACTACTTTCTATTTTTAAGTAGTGAAGAGTGTATCGCCGAAATAATGCAAAGCGAACAATCAATGCTTGTTTTCTATTTTCTATTTTGGATATGATTTCCGTGCATGACAGTACTTATAATCTACCAGTAGTTACGCACCCTAAATTGCAGTGCTTAAGATTTCGATATCCAAGTCAACCGGAGAACAATGCTAGTGAGTCATTGGTGATTGCATTGCCTGGGAGGTGGATGCCGATTAGAAGTGAGACCTGATCTTCGGAAATAGCACGAAATTTCCTGAGCTTCAACATAATCAAATGAGTGTGGTCTCTCATCAGTCACCTTTAGCAACAAGTCCATCATGGTCACTTGGCCAGTTCTGTTAGAGTGTTGGGAAACTCGTGGTGATTGAATCGACTGGACCTAGCTTGATGGGCCTTGATGATGATGTTGGGGTTTTTTCGTGGTCAAAGGAATCGGGACCAGAACAATATGGTTTCACTTCGTAGGAGAGACAGGGGAGGTTCTCCTAGGGATAATGGCAACCTGTCACGTGAAATTTTTCAGTCGAGTCTTGTTGTTTGATTACAAGGCGACTTGAAAACGCAGCTGTCCCAAGATCAGGTGGACTCAAGGTCCGATTTGAAGCACTAGACCAATTTTTCTTAAGTGAGTAAGTCATACCAGGAGATAACCATCGGAAATTTAATAATAACCAATATGTGAGTAATTATTGTATTTATATTTTTAAAATTTTACAATGTTTAGAATCTTATCTGCTTAAACTTCAGTTAAAAGGTATCATACCTTCATACATACATACATTCATTCATATTACAAGCAAATTGATGAATGTCGCTGAAGTTTGTTTAACGCACACCAATTCCGACGTAGTTCACCAAAGTCCTGCTCCTTAATGGTTCAGAGTGGGACCAGTTAGGGTACATGGGAATTCTTAGAAATTTTAATATGAGAGGGTAGAAGCAAAAGAAGAAGTGTGTGAACGGTTGGGATTGACAAGAAGATAGATGAGGATACAAAAGATGCAGAGGGTTGTCTAAAATATTATTGGCAAATTTAATACAAGAGTTGATATGAGTACTTGAAAGCAACTGAAGTCATTGATGCAAGACTGATGAATACTGAACCACGACAAATCGTTTTAAATTATTGTTTTAAAAGGCCGGGAAACACTGCAAACTTGGTGGCGCAGTGGTTTAGTCAAGGTCACTGCCGTGCTTTGAACCCTGTGGCCCGAGGTTCGAGCCCCACCATTGCCAGCTTTGCTATCATCCGGTTCAATACCACTCCTGACCTAGCAGTGCCTTATGTAGTTCGTCACTCGAAGTCCCGGTTACCATCACTGAACAGCGGGTCTCTGGGACTATGGGGCCTGCCCCGACTGTTCTTCATCGCACACTGGTGTGTAATTAAAAAAAGAGGGGAAACAGAATACACTGGGGGAAAAGGCAATAGTGAACAAACGAGGACAGGATAGAATGTGAGATTCGGAATTTCCGGAGTTTGCGTAGATGAAAAGACAGGCGTCTCGGTTTTCCCATACGATGTCAACCTGTCTGAGAACCAACGAAGGTTACTAACGATAGTGACACCCAGGTACTTGACTGAGGTCATTCTGGATTCAGGTTCACAGTTAAGGGTAGCAGAGTCTGCAGAAGATGGGGAGCGGGTAAGACAGAAGATACATTCTATGCACTTAGATATGTTAAGACTGAGACCAGATTGATTGGAAAACTGTTGGATGTGAGATAGATGTTCCGTAAAAGAATCGAATTCTGTACGAGATAAATTTATCTGACACAAAACGATGTCATCAACATACTTTTGGATGTGTGTAGTGGGTGGGACCGAAAGATCATTAATTGAAGCAGAAAAGAAATGTGAAGATAGAATAGCACATTGAAATACACCAGAATTAATAACAATATAGTGCACTGGATCGTCTCTGTGAAATATTCAGGAAGCCATGAGAGTAACATTTTGGAGTGCCAAACAATGGATGATCGAGACAGAAAATCCAAAAGGGAAAAGAGAAGGAAATAGATCGAACGGAATCAGACGAAAATTCTGGTATGGTTGAAGTCACCAACAAGGAGGCAAAGATGATTCATTAGTAATTGTAGGTCACAGTGTTTCATTAAAATGCGGTAGGCATGGCTGTTTCCCATGGTAATTTATCCCTCGTACAAGGGGTTTTAGCCCGAAACCACTATGAAGACGCGTGCGCCTAATATAATGACATTGTCACGACAAAATCCTCTCCCAGAAATAGTTATTATTCTAAATGCGGTCTGATTCTCGATGAACAAGCCTTGGACAAAGTCGTTTATCAGGTTTGTGTCATCGGTTGTCGTTGGGCTCCAAAGCGGCCTTTCTGATCGGACCGAAGTATGAAAAGATAGATTGGGTGATATTTGTGTCTGTTTGTTAACTTTCGTTCTGCCTCACTCAAAAGAGGACCAATCACTGTCTGTGTTACACTTCTTGACTAACTTTGGGTGTATTGTGATTTTGGTAGTGATCATTGAGATTCTCTTCACTGTAATATGATGATGACTCGTTGAGTCACGGTGCGCTTTGTGATAATCAGTCGATCGATTGATACTACGGTTAAAATGCTACGCGCGAAAAACAGACTAACCGTGAGACTTTCTCGTGGTCATGGCCACGAGAAATTAATCCTGACCAAAGCGATGTCCATTTTGGGGGTGCATCAGAGGAAATTTCTTCTGTCTGAAAATCACGAGGAAAATTGTTACTGATCGTAAAACACCGACACCAACTTCAATCACCTGACATTAATGTTTATTTGGACCCTCCAAACTGCCCAGATGAATTCGACGGACAAATGTTTTTATTTGAGAATAAAGTTTCAATTTCGGCCAAACTGTTAATTGTAGTGAGTTAGATGACCAGGGAAATTGTTCATCTATTCAGATTAAACCAAGACACTGTCCCTTTTTTTGCATTACAGAACCTTCATCGGATGATGGTGAAAGCCGAATTCAACAAACAAAACAGCGAACAATTGAGACTCCCGCATCCAGTTTAGCAGAATCATCACCTCAACCGCGGAACACATTCGCACGCTCGGCTGGCCTCGGGCCTCGTCAGGATAGGATCTATTCCGGTTCACCGAAACAAACTTTTACCCACTCACCAAGAACGTATTCCGATCCAAGCTTAGCACAAACGAGTCCAGAACCGCCCTCACCAGGTTATCACAGACCGCTCATGAATCAATACAGACCACTATCTGGAAGGGTATTGAATGAACCGAATCATTGTTCGGCATTTTCGGCACCAACCAGAAAACCGCGACCATTAGAACCTTTGCCAGTTGCAAATAGTTCAGAATCAGCGGAGTTTGTTTGGTTCTATGAACGATACAAAGCTTACTATCATTACTACATTAGTAATATGGCAAACCAGACCCAAACACAACCAACATGTATCGGGTTGCCTGGTACAACGGTCTCAACAATGATCTCATCCCAATCGATTGCTCCAATAAGTCCACCGGTTTCGTGGTCTCCGGCGTACAATCTGACCGTTTCACCAACGTCAACTGGTCTACTGTATGCGAACCAACCCGCTATGCTTAGTTCCCCGTTGTCAGCACAGGCACCCTTGCAGGGACCGAGCATAGGCGGCTTCGTAACAGCTCATCCCGGTGGATTTCAACCCCCTATCGATAGAGAATTTTCACAATGTCTGCACTGGAATCCGTTGCCTCAGGCTCTGTTACCCAGCAGCAACAACAACAATATGAATAACAGTATTACTACTAATAGCAGTAGTGTAGGCAATGGTGGCCAGATTACCACAGAGAATGGAGCGTTGGATTACACACTAGACACTTTATCCAAATCACAACAACAACGAGGCTGATTTCCAGCAACATATGGGCTTTGTGGGCTCATTGATTTCTGTCTCGTGACTTTGATTTCAACCCAAGCAGTACGGAAGCTGTGATACCTGATATCTGTACAGAAACACAAACAATTGATTGCACATGCCCATTTTCTCTGTGCGCGTGCGCGCACTCATTCTTCGATCTACTCTTTTCTTGTTCAAACCTAGATTTGTACAGTTCATTGCATTTAAACAACAACTCGGAAGGGCGAGGATGGAAGTGATCACGTGACAGATGCGTCTGCAGTAGCTTCTGCCCGATCATTTCTCAAAATCAATTTTTTTTCTCTCGTCAGAACGCGTGCCCATTCGATGACTGTCCACTTTGAACCGCACGAAACAAGTGCGTATTTCGGTGATGATGCACACATACCGTTCAAATGGCGACGGGAGAGGAGAAAACAGAGGCGCCATATTTGTTTCAAGCAAACAATGTTTTTTCTTATCTCATTGCCAGAACTGCTTTATTTCTCACTTCATCTATGAAGGATGGGCTACCACAGCTATGGGATTTTGCAACTGAGTTGTTCCGATTCTCTCGTTTACTATATAAATAGTAGTAGGACTAGCACGAACCGATGATCGAGTTTCGTGTGAGACGTCCGCACCGGTGGCGGAACTGGAGTACTTTCATGGAACGTACAGCCAACACGATGCCCGAGCCGCCGGAATAAGAAGACTTAACATCACCATAGTTAGGCACAGATATTTTCCTCCAGCGAGAACAGGCTAGAGAGGATCCTGGCCGTGTTTTGTCTCAAAATGATTTCTCCGCTCAGAGCGAAATGACGCAAGTCGTAGAAGCGGAACAAAAAACTCATCGAATGTTTATCACTTTCTCCGAGAATGACAAGGCGAATGTGAAAGAATTGTCAAGTAAAACACGAAATAAAACGAAGCAAATTGTGAAACGGATTGCCAGATTAATTCTGAATTCAGGGCTCCGAGCTATCCCACGGACTGCGTTTGATATCACCATGTATACGCATTGTTAAGAATCAATTGCGTAGAATGACCTTTAGTAGACCACCAACACTTGGGGGTATCGGACAACAAGACAGGACAAATGTCGTCTGCTTCGTTATGAACACGGAACAGTATGGAATGGGATTCAACCATCATTGATGCCATTAACTCCAAAAGGTTTGTCACCGATGGTTAGAGACAATGAGCGGTGTCGCAAACAATGGCGCTCGTGCATCCATTCGTTATTTTCCACTCTAAATGAATTCTCCGTCTTCCGCAAGAATTTGCTCCCAACATTCCAATTTTCGTCTTGCTCTTTTATTCAAATAGGCGGCCAAAACACGACAAACAAAACCGGTGTATGAAAGTGCATGGCTAATGGTTCTAAAAGCTGCCATTGACGGGCAACAATGATCTGGAGATTCCAATCCACGAAGTCTAACGCGAGCTGTGATGGTCTAAAAGTTTGGGTTTTCATAGGCTCACCGTGTCTCAGGTTGATCACCTTTGACTCTACTCTACCCACTATCCTCGTCGTTATGAAGAACAAATCAACGCAGTCGAAAGAAGACGACCAATCGTCCCTAATGAGTGAATGCGATTACTTGGAGCTCTGCGCTAACGTCAGCACCGCCTGTCCAGTTGCTTCAAAAGAGGCGTGTAATGCTGTGTAGACAGTGGTACTCGGATACCGACAGCCTATCTTTGTTGATTTCGGTAATGGTAAAGTCTGCACTGCATTGCAGAAATGTGACAACACACACTCAACCCATCACAGATAACCGGTTGTGACGGCACCATACACATCACCAGTTGGCAAATGCCAACCGAGCCTTCTGTATGGGTACCGACGCTTCATGTAGGATGCGTCCGCCAGGTTAGATAGTTGCCCAAATAACAAAACTATTGATTGCTTCCCCAGTTGGACTGAGCCTATCCAGTCCATTAGTGACAATTTACATTCTGAAGGTGCACAACGAAACTTGAACAGGCCTACACTAGCACTCGAACTATCCAGAAAAATTGGCAACTCATCTGGGTATTCACTGAACAGTGCAACGATATCTGCATAGTCTAAGTCAAACAGTTTGTGATCCGGGAGCAAATCGATGTTGCTATCCTCGCGTGAGAACCAAACTGTTTCCAGAATCAGATTCATTACGAAGTTGCGTACAAAAAGGGAGGGCAATCTTGACGAAACACCGCTTTCTGTGGTGACCTCGGGCGAAAAATTGTCGTAAGCTCGGACTTGGCTTCGGCTATTAGTATACAACTGGAATAAAATTCTTGGATATCCCCTTCAAGAACAGGCAGCGCCAAGTGTAGAGAGGCCGATTGCGTCGAAAGGAGTGTTTGTGTTCTAGAATTTGACGAAGAGTGATGACGTGGTCTGTACAACGTCGACTAGGTCTAAAACCAGCCTGATTCTCATGCAGGCACCGGTTATGTGCAGCAGACAATCGACGAAGTGGTAAGTCATTGAGCAGTTTAGAGATGATGTTGCTTAAACTAATTCCTCTTTGGTTTTCACAAGAGGACCTGTCACCGTTCTTGTAGATCCCCAAGACGGAAAACTCAAACCATTTGGTGGGAACCTAATTGCTCTTACATACTGAGCTTCAAGAACAATGCTGAACCTTCAGCCTTAAAAGCCGATGGAAACAGCACATCCTACCGGAGACCTGATACTTTTTGAGATAATTTATTCCCTGGGAAACTTATATTTCAGATGACAGAACTGACATCAATTCGCAGCATGTCTAGTCGGGGCAGGGTTTTCCATATAGGTCCGGTATATATATATATATATGTATATATATATATATATATATATATATATATATATATATATATATATATAT